ATACATGTAAAGAACTTAGTAGAATGCTGATACACAGTAAGTACTCACCTTCAGCTATTATTAATTTTGTTATCCTGTAAGCTTTTTTTTTTAATTGTAGGAGTAGGGATAATAATATTTTCTCTTAAATTCATTAAACAGTTACTAAATGGCTACTATATGTGCTAATCACTTTTAAGGACAAAAGTAGTTGAAAATACGTAACATAATTCAAAAGAATTTATGGCTTTTGAATAAAAATAAAAATAAAAAATAATAAGTAGCAGCAAATACATTGGACTTATTATGTTCCAGGTATTCTTTACTCAATTTTCATAACTGTGCTCTGAGGTAGTTACTGTTGTCTTCACCCTTTCACAGATAAGGGAACTTAAGTAGGGAGAAGACAAGTGATTTGCCCAAGATCTCTCAGCTAGTGAGTGATGGAGGCAGGTCTCACAACTAAGCTGATCTGAGACCACAATCTTTGATCACTGTGGTGTTCTGCCTACAGAAACAAGGCTGGCACATCTGAAAGACTCAGGACCTGTGTGACAGAGTCAGTGTGATAGGTCGAGACTATAATAGCTGTTACGAGTTGGGGCAGGGGGAGGAGGATCAGTAAAGGCTAGAATGTTCAGGGAAGGAAGAAAGCTGTCATTTACTAGAAACTACAGTGTGTCAGGCTCTCACACAGTAGCTGCTTTGATCTTCACAGTGATCCCAGGAGGTACATTTTATTATTATTCTTCCCTTTTTTACTTAATGGAGGCTCTGGAAGTTTAAGTGACTTACCAAAATCCACATTGCTGGTAAGTGATGTAGATGGGATTTAACAAAACCTTTTTATTATGTAAAATTGCAAACATGCGCAAAAGCAGAGGAGTAATCTAATGTATTCCTCATCACTCAGCTTCAGCAGGTATCACCATTTTGCTTCTGTTTCATTTGTTCCTATCCCTTCTAAAAAACAGCTTTATTGCGGTATAATTGACATGTAGTAAACTTCACATATTTAAAGTATACAATTTGATACATTTTGACGTATGTACACACCCTTGAAATCATCACTACAATCAAGATAATGAACAATATATCCATCACTCCCAAGAGTTTCCTTGTGTCCTTTTGTAATCCCTCTGTCATATCTCTCTCTGCTGCCCCCACCTCCTCCCCTACACAAGGCAACCACTGGTCTGTCATATAGACTAGTTTACATTTTCTAAAATTTTATATAAATGGAATCATATAGTATGTACTCTTTTTGTCAGGCTTCTTTCACTCAGCATAATCATTTTGAAATTCATCCATATTATTGTATGTGTCAGTAGTGCTTTTTTTTCCTTTGCTGTAGTACTCAATTCTGTGAATATGCCACAGTTTTTTAAAACTCATTAATCTATTGATGGACATTTGAATTGTTTCCAGTTTTTGGATAGTATAAACAAGGCTGATATGAACAATTGTGTACAAGTTTTTATGTGGATATATGCTTTCATTTCTTTTTGGTTTATCTTTAGGAGTGGGATGACTGGATCATAGGGTACGTGTATATTAAGAAGCTGCCAAACTGATTTCCAAAATAGTTGTACTATTTAACATTCCCAGCAGCAGTGTAAGTGAGTTCCAGTTCCTTTGCACACTTGCCAACACTTGGTCTGATTGATCGTTTAAATTTTAGTCCTTGTGATAGGTGTATAGTGGTATCTCACTGTGGTTTTAATTTGTAGTGACTAATGATATTGAGCCCTTTTGCCATCTATTTATCTTCTTTGAAGAAGTATCTGTTCAAACCTTTTGCCAATTTTTTTTTTTTTTTTTCTGAGGAACAATTTGCCCAGAACTAACATCTTGCCAGTCTTGCTCTATTTTTTCTTTGTGGGTCACCACCACAGCATGGCTGCCGATGAGTGGTGTAGGTCTGCACCCAGGAGCCAAACCCGGGCCACTGAAGTGGAGCATGCCAAATTTAACCACCAGGCCATGGGGCTGGCCCCTTGGATACAAGTCCTTCATATGATTTGCAAGCATTTCCTCCTAGTCTGTAGCTTGTCTTTTCATTTATAAAGTGTCTTCTAAGGGCAGAAGTTTTCCGTTTTGATGATATTCAAGTTATCAATTTTGTATTTTATGAATTATGCTTGTGGTGTCATATCTAAGAAATCTTTGCCTAATACAAGATCACAAGATTTTCTTGTAGAGGTTTTGTAGTTTTGGGGTTTACCTTTAGGCCTATGATCCATTTTGACTTAGTTTTTATTTTTGGTGTGAGATATGGGTGGATGTTCATTTTCTTAGCATATGGATCTCCAGTTATTCCAGCACCATTTGTTGCAAAGACTATCCTTTTTCTCATCGAATTACCTTTACACATTTGAAATCAGCTGTTCATTCACTTTTTAAAAAATGGAATACTTTAGGGGCCGGCCTGGTGGTGCAAGTGGTTAAGTGGGCGTGCTCCGCTGAGGCGGCCCAGGGTTCGCCGGTTTGGATTCCAGGCGCGCACCGACGCACCACTTGGCAAGCCATGCTGTGGTGGCATCCCATATAAAGTGGAGGAGGATGGGCACCAATGTTAGCCCAGGGCCAGTCTTCCGCAGCAAAAAAAGAGAAGGATTGGCAGATGTTAGCACAGGGTTGATCTTCCTCACACACACAAAAATAAATAAATAAATAAAAAATGGAGTACTTTAAAGCAAATACCAAACATAATGTTATTTTACCACTACAAATACTGCATTATGCACCTGTAACTGATAAGGACTGATTTTTAGAAACATAAGAAACATTCCATTATTGTACCTCACAAAATTAACAGTATTTCCTTAAAATCATCTAATATTCAAACCATATTTAAATTTCCCAAATTGTTTCAAAGATAGTTTTTTATAGTTGATTTGTTCAAATTAGCATTGGATTTGGCTATGTCTCCCAAGTGTTCTTTCATTCCTTAACAGTTCTTCCACCACCACCTTTATTTTTTCTTGTTATTATTTGTTTTATTCATGATCCCACATTTTGGACTCAACTGATTGCTTCCTTGAAGTATTTAACTCCTTCCTCTATTTCCTCTAAACTAGTAGATAGATCAGATCTAGGGACTTGATTAGATTCAGGTTCCGTTTTTGTGTCTGTGTGTGTGTGAGGAAGCTTGGCCCTGAGCTAACATCTGCCAATCCTCCTCTTTTTGCTGAGGAAGACTGGCCCTGGGCTAACATCCGTGCCTGTCCTCCTCCACTTTATATGGGACGCAGCCACAGCATGGCTTGCCAAGCGGTGCGTCAGCACGCGCCCGGGATCCGAATCGGTGAACCCCTGGCCGCTGCAGCGGAGGACGCGCACTTTACTGCTACGCCACCAGGCTGGCCCCCAGTTTTGTTTTTTTTTAAGCCATGTATACCCTATAGATAGTGGTTAGTATTTCCTGTTGCATTGCAGGAAGAGACACATAATGTCTGGATTATTCAGAGGGTTTAGGTGGTGTCAGCCTCATATGTTAGTTGTAAAGTTCCTCATCATCCTTTCACCTTATTTTGTAAATTTTTTTAGCATCCATTAATGATTGTTGCCTAGATCCATTATTTCATTAGAGGTTGCAAAATGGTAATTTTCTAATTGTATCATTCTTTTTGCATTTATTAGCTAAAGTTCTAAAAATTAAGGAAAAAAAAAGTTACCCTCATCAATTATTTGGTTATCCTGAAATAGTTTGTACAAGCAGATTCAATGTCTGATTTATTTCCCCATTCTTTATCAATTTTCAAAATAATGAGTTGATCTTAGCAGTCTCCAGTGATGACCAATAAAGGGTTGATTTGTTTTTTGTATTAAGTCACATATTTGTATATATTTGATGTGTTTCAATCCATGGATTTCATTATTATTATTTGTTTATTTATTTCTGGTGAGGAAGATTGGCCCTGAGTTAACATCTGTTGCCAATCTTCCTCTTTTTGCTGAGGAAGATTAGCCCAGAGCTAACATCTGTGCCCATCTTCCTCTATTTTGTATGTGGGACACCACCATGGCTTGATGAGCAGTGCGTAGGTCTGCGCCTGGGATCCAAACCCGTGAACCCCGGGCTGCCAAAGTGGAGCGCACGAACTTAACCACTACACCCCCAGGCCGGACCCCTGTCATTATTATTTTTGATGCTCAGAAATGCTTCAAGTTGCTCCTGTCAAATGCTCCTGTCTCTTTTGACATGACACTGTCATTCTTTGAATAAATGAGATTTGAACCTTGGTTTATTTAACTTCAACGTCTGTATTCTTCCCATTATTATTCTTGTGCCTTTTTGAAAGAAGCCTTTAAGGTATAGACGAGACTTAAACGGCACAGTTGAAGGGTGCATTTGTTGGGATAGGGGTTTGGTATGAGGAGTGTCAACATATGTATGAACATAGGTCTAGCAGCAGGAAGGCAAACGGTACTTGTAGCACAAGGGCCTGGGCTGTAGAGTGGTAGGCCAATCCAAGGAAGATAGGCCAGAGACACAGCACAGAGGGCCCTGCCAGCTGGGGTGAGGGATTTTGTCTTTTTAATCCTCAGGTGGTGGGTCATGGGACTCAGGTCATATATTTTGTTTCTCACATGAGATTGATAGAAAATTGTTTTTGAAAGAAGGCCCTCTTGATTGCCATTTTCATTGAAGTTGGCAGAGAAGAACTCAGCCAAAGAAACCAATATCATCTAAGTCAAGTCTGGAAAGAATCACCTGTTGAGTGGTTGTTACCTGAATTTCTCAGGACCCTGTAATCCTTGAAACCCTTCATTTTTCACGTGTGATATACCTACGTTGAATTGAATCATTGTGGTGTATATGTATAATTTATGTAGTGATAATCAAAAGTATATTTAAATAATTTATTTCTGAGTGGCTTACTCCGGCTGATTTAATTGGCCTCCTATTACATTATTGTCTATATTAAAATCCAGGGACTAACTATGGATTGGTGGACTTTATCATATTTTAGTATAAAATTTGTATCTGTCTCACTAAGTTTTACTTACTGATTTCTAGGGCCCCATGGTTATGAATGTGTTTCAATTTCATAATGCCTCCTGCTATGGCAGACATCCTTGACATCTGGGCAGTGGATTCACAGATAGTATCTGATGGCTCCATACCTGTGGATTTCCTTTTGCCCACTGGGATTTATATCCAGTTGGAGGTACCTCGGGAAGCTACCATTTCCTATATTAAACAGGTATGTTAATAAGTGGAATTTCTATAAATATAGTTAACTTATTATATCAGGGGAATATGTTGTTCTGTTATAGAAAATGTTATTAATGTAAATCATGGTAGATTTGAGGGAAGCTTAATCTTTAGGTCATTACATTTTAAAGATTTTGATGTATGCTTTGTGTTATGTGGACATATAAAACATACTCATTCTCCCACTTTTAATTTTTTTTAAATCTATATGTGATACCTGAATTAAGAAAAATTGGCTTATGTTAGCTAGTTTGAACTGTTTGTTCAGGCTATTAAAAGAAATTTGACAATGTCAAAGAAGGTTTTATTTTGAGTTAAAATCGTTGTAATTACTGTCTTTGAGCTTGTCACTTTTTTTTCATGTGATTTTTGGTTGGTTGTCTCTTCTTTCCTTTTCCTTCCCTTTCTCTTCCCCTTCCTCCCTCCCCACCCTCACTACTTTTCATGGTGACTCTAGGGGAAGAAAAAGTTTCCTCCTGTTCACTAGATTTTTTTCCCCCCAGTAATGAATGGTATATCCTCATTTGGAAGCAAATTCTTTTACATAACAAAGTTTGCCTGTTTTTGTTTTGTTGGATTATTTTTTTAAGTGAATTGATGAGTGCCATTGGTTTGGGAAGACTATAATATATAAATGAAATTGTTTTTCTAAACTTTCTCTTTAATGTTTTCCAAATAGCTAGACCCAATATGGAACTCAGGGGTTATGATATTTTTAAGAAAAAGTATTTATGATATACCTTTTTAAAGCTCTTGACTTTGGACAGCTTCTTAACTCTTTTCCAAGTTTCTTCATCAGCAAGACATGAGAATTCTAAAACAGCATGATCCCTGAAGTAAAAATAAGAAAAGAGAGAATTGTTTTAGGCACCCCACATGTGCAGAGAATACTTCTTTTTATAGTCACCAGTGACAGGTGTGGATGCCTGTGGCTGTACCTGAAGCCAGATTAACCATTGATACCCTCCTCTTTTTTTCTTATTATTGTAAAATAGGCACAACATAAAATTTACCATTGGAGTCATTTTTAGGCACACAATTTCGTGGCATTAAGTACATTCACGTTGTTGTCCAACCATCATCACTATACACTTCCAGCACTTTTCATTAAATAATAAGCTCTATACTCATTAAATAATAAACTTCCCCTTCTCCTAGCCCCTGGTAATCTCTATTCTAGTTTCTGTCTCAATGAATTTGTCTTTTCTAGCTACTTCATATAAGTGGAATCATACAATAGTTGTCCTTTTGGGTCTGGCTTATTTCACTTAGCATAATATTTTCAAAGTTCATCCATGTTGTAACATGTATCCAAATTGCATTCCTTTTAAAGACTGAATAATATTGTACTGTGTGGGTATTCCACATTTTATCTGTTCATCTTTTGATGGACATTTTGGTTGTGTCTGTCTTTTGACTATTGTGAATAATGCTGCTTTCAACACTGGTGTACAAGTATCTGTTTGAATCCCGGCTTTCTGTTTTTTTTGTGTATATACCTAGAATTAGAATTGTTGGATCATATGGTAATTCTGTTTTAACTTCTTAAGGAACTGCCAAACTGTTGTCTGCAGTGACTATACCATTTTATATTCCTACCAGCAATGCACAAGGGTTCCAGTTTTTCCATATCCTGGCCAACACTTGTTATTTTCTGGGTTTTTTGTTTTTTGTTTTTTTTTTTTTTTGATAATAACTGTCCTTATGGCTGTGAAGTGGTATCTCATTGAGGTTTTCATTTGTATCTTTCTGATAGCTAACGATGTCAGGCATCTTTTCATGTTCTTATCGGCCATTTGTAGAATTATCTGTTCAAGACCAGTGGCTATTTTTGAATTCAGTTGTTTTTTTGTTGTTGAGTCATAGGAGTTCTTTATATATTCTGGATATTAACCGCTTATCAAATATATAATTTGCAAATATATTCTTCCAGTTTGTGTGTTGCCTTTCACTCTCTTGATAGTATCCTTTGGTGCACAAAAGTTTTTAATTTTGGTGAAATCCAATTTACCTCTTTTTTTGTTTTGTTGCCTAGCAATGCTTTCTTTTTATTTGTTTTATGTAACTGCATCTGAGGATTGGCCATGATTTTTACCCCAGGTCTGTTATCCTCAGCTCTTGGCTTTTGTATGGGCCGCAGTTAAAATATGTAATCACACCTTGCGTTTGTATGATGATCTTCTTTTATATGATCTCGTCTAGGAGACCTGAGAGAGATGATGAGAGCTTGATTCTGCTCATCCTGACAGGGCAATGTTAGTTAATAAAGATACCTCTGGTGAATAGAAAAGAATGCAGGACAAAAATAACAAATTTTCTATGGGAGTGATGATACATACTTTACATTTTTAATTTTTTTCTGATTAGAAGTTATGTTCACAGGAATGTTAAATATGGAAATCTTGATTCTTACTCTTCATAGATATTCACTTTTAATAATTTTATTTATACAAATGCATTTTTGGTGCATAATGCCGTTATATTACTTTACAAAACTGGGTTAATACCATGTATATTTTCTTGCAATTTGCTATTAAAAAAAAAAAACCTTAATATATCTGGATAGCTTTCCATGTTACAGTGTATTTCTCTTTTATTTTCACAGTTCTGTAATATTCTATAATTCATTTTTTTAACATGGAGAGAGGATTTATGAATTTATTTATTTATTTATTTATTTATTTATTTATTTATTTATTTATTGAGGAAGATTGGCCCTGAGCTAACATCTGTTGCCAATCTTCCTCTTTTGTTCTTTTTTCTCCCCAAAGCCCCCAGTACATAAGTGTATATCCTATTTGTATGTCCTTCTAGTTCTTCTATGTGGGACACTGCCTCAGCTTGGTTTGATGAGCCGTGAGTGGGTCCACGCCCAGGATCCGAACCAGCGAACCCTGGGCCGCTGAAGTGGAACACGCCGACTTAACTGCTCTGACACGGGGCCGGCCCCTCTATATTTCATTTAACCAATCCTTTATTGCTCAACATTTGGCTTGTTCTCAGTTTTTGAGTTTTACAAACAGTGCTACAGTGAGCATCCTTGTAGATGTATCTTTGTTCACTTGAGAAAGTGTTTCCGTTCCAGAAAAGCTCTTACTTTTTTTTCCTTCAGATGTTATGGAAGCAAGTTCACAATTACCCAATGTTTAACCTCCTTATGGAAATCGACTCCTATATGTTTGCATGTGTGAATCAAACTGCTGTATATGAGGAGCTTGAAGATGAAACAAGAAGACTCTGTGATGTCAGACCTTTTCTTCCAGTTCTCAAATTAGTAACAAGAAGTTGTGACCCAGGGGAAAAATTAGACTCAAAAATTGGAGTCCTTATAGGAAAAGGTAATTAAAAAAATTCTTAGTATGAATTCTTACTATATCTGTTGCTATATATATATAAACATGTATAAGTATTATCTAAGCTGTTGCTTCACAAAATGTAGTCCGTGGACCAATGCTGCTCTGTAAATTGTTGTCAGTCTGAGATAAGGTAAGTACAGAAATTGAGAGTAAATGTTGAGAAACTCCTCTAGCAATGTGATGTTGCCACAATATCCAAGGGCTTATGTTTTGTATATCTTCTTCTTTTCTAGTGACTTATTTTTGTTTCACAAAAGTATTGGTTTTTGACAGATTGGAAAGATAAAAGTTGTTCCTTTGCCTCAGATAGTTTGAGAAGCCCTTTACTAAGAGATACATCCTCAGTTTCTTGTGAACTGCCCCTATAGTATGAATGTAATTTATACACAACTCTCTACGCCAACTAAGACTTTAAGCTGATAGATGCATTTCTTTCTTTCTTTTTTTTTTTTTGAGGAAGATTGGCCCTGTGCTAACATTTGTTGCCAGTCTTCCTATTTTTCTTTTTTCTCCCCAAAGCCCCAGTACATAGTTGTGTATCATAGTTGTAGAGTTCTAGCTCTTCTATGTGGGATGCTGCCTCAGCACGGCTTGATGAGCGGTCAGTAGGTCTGCGCCCAGGATCTGAACCTGCGAACCCCAGGCTGCCGAAGCAGAATGTATGAACTTAACCGCCATACCACCAGGCCTGCCTGATTGATACATTTCTGTAAATAACCCATATTATTGACAAATTTTACTTCATAACTAAAATTATCTTTAAATAGAAGTTATTTTTATAGCGAGTCAAGATAGGTCATGTCCACATTATTCTTTGCAAATTAATTCCAGGGAGAATTGTAACAAAATAAAAAACATGGAGGAGTCTCTCTTGCTATAGTTATCTTAAGTGTCTCAAGGGCCAATGGTATATCAGTATCCTGCCTTAGACAAGATACTAACTTGAATTAGGTACTACAAGGGGTTACTGAGGAGGAGACTTTGAAGTTTAAATACAAAACCAAAAAAATCCATTGGAGATTTTTGGATCTGAATTGGTTATCTGTATTGATTACATTCACTATTATAGGATAATATAGTACCATCCTCTTTAAAACAGTAAGTATCTTTAAGATAATATGTGTATATTATATATGTATAAATATGGTTCTCCTCTGAGAACTATCCCCTTTAACATAGTATTCTATGATCTTGACCTATAGTAATTCAGGCTAGCTTATGATTACACTGTGGGACTAAACTCTTTTCCCTCTGAGTATTTAGAACAGAATCTTGTTGATTTACTAAATGACACGCTGGTCTTTAAAAATGTTTGATTACTTCAGAGGATAGCTAGTTTGCTTTTGGCAATAACTTTTTCCTGATTAAGTAGATTAATAATTATATACCATACACATTTTTTTCTTATACAATCATGTACAGCATAGTGATGTTTTGGTCAACAGTATACAGTGGTGGTCCCATAAGATTAGTACCATATAGCCTAGGTGTGCAGTATGCTATACTGTCTAGGTTTGTGTAAGTACGCTCTGTGATGTTCGGACAATGACGAAATTGCCTAATGATGCATTTCTCAGAACATATCCCGTTGTTAAGTGATGTATGACTGTATTAATGGCCTCAGTAGAAAGCATTCCTTTCTATTTTCTGGAGCTCCAAAGACTTTTTTTTAATGGATTTTTAATTCTCCACTAGCAAAACTTTTTCCTTGGTTTGAATTGCAGAATATATGGGCAAGTAGAAAGAATAAAAAATCACTTATAGTCTTATCATCCAGGACAAGAATATCCACTGATAATATTTTGATGTAGTTCTTTCCAAGTGGTTTTGTGTGTGTGTGTGTGTGTGTGTGTGTGTGTGTGTGTGTGAAAATAGATAGCTTTGTGTATTCTTATGCTGATAGAAGGATGCAGACCAGAACCACATTGATTGTTAAGGAAGCTAAAATATTTGATAATCCACAAGGTTAGCACCATATAGAGCTAACTTTCCTTAGGATATAGGTATCTTTTTGAGATTTACCATCTTTTCAAAACTTAGATCACTGTGCTCTCTTCTGGTCTTGATTTCCAAAATATATGGATTCATTAGCCACCATTACCCCTACCTAAGCTTGCCAGATTTAGCAAGTAAAAATACAGGAGATCCAAATATTACATGGAATATACTTAGGCTAAACAATCATTCATTTTTTATGTAAAATTCAAATAGAACTGGGCATGCTGTTTTTTTGTTTGGTAACCCTAACTTTACCCTACCACAGCATAGGGATCTAATGTATATGTTAGAATTGAATTTCTCTTTCTGTAAACAGTATACCATATTTCATTATCAAAATTTTTTTATGCAGTGTGCCCTGCCATTTGAATGATCAGGATGTAAGAAAGTATTTTATTGCATTAATTTAAGCAGTTTATAAGATCTTAACTATTTATAAATTATATTTTAGATTTTCAGCATATCTAGAAAAGCTGGTGTCATGATCATATACACAAATTCAAATGTTCACATTCACTTAGGAAGTTGACGAAGTTTGTTTTAATATTTTAGAATGAATTTTCACTTTAAATATCTAACAAGTCAATTTTTGCAGTTGCTGATTTGTATGTGACGACTACAGCTGGGACTTGGTGAGGTCATGCCTCCTGGGAAAACAATAAACAATTATTTCAATTTAACTTCAGGAACAAGTTTGCTGCCTCCTCCTCCCCAAAGGAAACAATAGAACCTTTACAGACATAACTGCCCTGAGGGGTCTAAAAATAACCTTCTTCTGAAAGATGATGTGCCTGACCATTTCATTTTCTAAGTTTATTCTAAGTAATTATTTACAGAGCTGCTGTTTGGGTTCTTGTTATTGTCTGTAGTGAAAGCACATGTCACTGCTGTGTTAATTTCTCCAAACACCCAGTAGTAAATCTTGATCAGAAGATGTTGTCAGCATCCTGAAAAAAGTATTTGAAAACTCCCTTATTTCCTCTGACCTATCTAAAGCTGTGGCATATCTCAAAGTGAAGGAGATATTTGGTTTGCAAGATTTTAACTATCTTTAATATGAAGAAATTGTTCACTCATTTTTTAATATCAAAAAATTATATTTGTAAACTATACAGTAGTCTTATCTTAAAATTTAAGATTTTGCTGTCAGATTTTCTTGCCAGAAGACATGTAGGAAATTGACTAGGTTTAAAATTAAATTACTTAGCCTAACTTCTTATTTTTGGCAAAGTTTCTGTTTTTAAGAAATCTGTGTAGTGGTTCCCAGATTCAAGCCTCATCAGTTTCTTAAAAAGCAGATTCTCAGAGATTGGGATTCAGTGAGCCTGGGATGAATTAAAGAAATCTGTACTTTTCAGCTGATTCTAAAAGTTATGTGAGGGTCGGCCCCGTGGCTTGGTGGTTAAGTGCGCGCGCTCCGATGCTGGCGGCCCGGGTTCGGATCCCGGGCGCGCACCGAGGCGCCGCTTCTCCGTTCACCCTGCGGCCGGGTCCCACATGCAGCAACTAGAAGGATGTGCAGCTACGACATACAACTATCCACTGGGGCTTTGGGGGGAAAAAATAAAATAAATAAAATCTTTAAAAGTTATGTGAACAGAGTCCCTTATTTATAATATATTGAAAAAAATTACCGAAACAGTAGTGATTGCAATTCAACAGTATATGTTGAGTGTTTACACTTGTGACTACAGCACTGAACGTGGATGATGTGGTCTTTGTCTGCTTGGAGCTCACAATCCATTGTGAAATATAGATCAGAAACAGACAATTACAGTACAATGTGTAAACTGCTGTAAGTCAAGGAGGGTCATTTCAATCAATTGGGTGAGTCAGGGACAGCCTCTTAGAGGACACACAGCTAACTGAGCCTTCAGTGCTGATTAGGAGCTGAGCAGGTGAAAGCAGTTGGAAGAAGGAAGAGCAGAAGGGAATGGCATGTGTGAAGGATGACCTATTCAAGGAATAGAAGAAATTGATTATGATTTGTTTAAGGGGACAGCTAGGACAAGCAGGAAGACTGGAGAAGCAACCAACTTTGTAGCATGCAGAGCCATCCAGGCCAAAGAAAAAGTAGAGATTTACTCCTAAGAGCACTTGGGAAGCTACTGAATGATTTAAGTAGGGGAGTAACGTGATCAGATTTGCATTTTAGAAAGATCGTTCAGGTTGGAGAATGGATTGGAGAGATTAAGACTGGGAGTAGAGAAATTAGCAAAAATCTGATGTAGTAATTCAAGGGAGGAACCATGATGGCCAGGATTAAGTTAATGGCTGCAGGAACTAGGAGAAGTAGACAGAGTTGGGAAACATTTAGAAAGTGGATTAGACATGACTTTTAGTAGATAAAGGGAGATAGAGTTTGATTTTTGTTAGATGTACATATTATTAGGTACTCATTTCCCTTTCCATACCTGTAATACCTATTATCTGTGAATAGAAAGAGTTTGAACAGTGCTAGGAAGAAGCTCTAAAGATGCTTCAGCTGCTCTGCCTAAATTACAGTCCATTCATAGCTAATTTAGAGCAATGTATTTTTATTCCAGATCTAAAACTATCCAGGCAGTCATATTGTACCCTCAAGATTTTACCTTTGCTGTGTTATGCAACTTAAACATTTTTGTTTTTCTATATTTAATACCACAAATTGATTCTAATATTTATTTTTAAAATTATAATTGTTTTAATACATAAAAGTAAATAGACAATGCAGATAAGGCCACTGTCTAGATAACCCTTATTGACATGTATATATTCAAATAGCATATGGTATTGATTGGCTTTATGGAACACAAAGTAACAACTTGCCTCACTGTGCTCTCCTACCCAATGCTATAAAATGCTGTTAATATTTTCATCTCAAGTATCTTTCCAAAACAAAAATGTATACATATTCTATATTCTTTCTTTTGAATTTGCATAAAAGGAATCTTGTGAGACCTATTCTGTCCCTGCTTTTTAAATTTTATGTATCTGGAGGTTTTAACATAACGCATAGTTCTATTTTATTCATTTTATCCCTTGCACCACTGTATAATGTTATATGGATGTATCTTAATTTTTTTAACCAGATCTTAATGATTAACTTTAGATTATTTCCAGTTTTTAAATTATTCTAAACAAAACTACAGTGAACATTCTTGTAGTGATATCATGTTATTCGTGTAATTATTTCTATACGTTTTTGGAAATAAACGAAGACTACCCAAATGAGAACAGACTATTTACTCAGAGCTTGCCGTAGTAAAGGAACTTGGTGTTTGGCAGTGATTCAAAGGCAGGCAGGGAGGTGAGAAAGTTTTATATTGAAAAAAGGGGAAGGCTTCAGGTATGCCTGATTAAAAGTTGTTGGCAGGGGTAGCTGGAGAGGGGCTCACTATAAGCTGGGCATCTTATGTGATTGGTTTGGGGAACATATTTGGCTTTCTTTGGTTGGTCCTGGCTCTCTCAGATTGAAATTCTTGTTGGTGAATTTCGAGGTTGAAGGATGTGTGTGTGTGTGTGTGTGTGTGTGTGTGTGTGTGTGTATGTGTATATATAATTTCTAATAAATATTAAATAAATTCTAATAAATATTAAATAAATATTCCTATTTCTCTTTGTCCCATCCAGCATAGAGTATTGTCAAACTTTAAAATGTCTGTCAATCTGATAGCTAAAAACTAATGCACCAATAAAATTTTATACATGTTCATTTATTTATTTCTAGAATTATTTATTAGAATAATCATAAATTTGTGAAAAAGTTGTCATATACAGTTGTCTTGGCAGAAGTGGTTCATAATTAAGTACAACGAAGAATAATTTTGTGTCTATGAGATTTTTAACTAATTGGTATAATTTGTTGAAAATCACAGCAAACTGAAAGTTTAATTTATAAAATTTAAGTTTACTGAATTTTAAGTAATAACTTGACTTTTAAGCTCATAATAATTTCAGTATATAGTATTCTATTACAGTCTTTGAAAAGTGTTCAGATTTTTAGTCTTTCTCACATGTTTGAAATGTGATTTACTTGGTTTGCAAAGAAAAACTATAGTTTTAGTGTGAGTTTCAGTGCTTATCTTTATAAAACTGGTAATCAACTACATTTCTTTAAGAGGTTTCAAGAGTGTATTCTTTAGAAATCTAATTGTATGTTCTTCTATACATGAAATTTATTATTTTATCTGGCTGTTCTTTTGATCTTTCATAATATTTTCCTGCCCAGTTTTATTTGCTTGATAAAAACCAGACATCTAAATTAAGTTTTGTTGAATATATTTTGTATTCTCTTTTATTAGCTACTCAAAATGATACCTTTAAAAAATGTGTTTAAAAAATGTGTTTAGGTCTGCATGAGTTTGATGCCTTGAAGGATCCTGAGGTGAATGAATTCCGAATAAAAATGCGAAAATTCAGTGAGGAAAAGATTCAGTCACTTGTGGGATTGTCTTGGATGGATTGGCTAAAGCAGACATATCCACCAGAGCATGAACCCTCCATCCTTGAAAACTTAGAAGATAAACTTTATGGAGGAAAGCTCATTGTGGCTGTTCATTTTGAAAATTGTCAGGTAATATTATATTATTTTAAGAAATACTTTTTGCCATAAATTTGTGATTTTTACCTGAATGCAGCTCTAATCTTAGAGGAGGCTCTTGCTCACCTAGTAAACACTATTAGAAAGAACATTTTTAGGTTTAAGATGGAAATAAATTTAGGATTATGTCTAACAGTCTAAGGTGACATATCCTTTGCTCGTATATGATTTTTGATGCGATGTTACGTTAGTCTAGATCGGGGTCAGCAAACTGCACTGTTTCTGAATTGTTTTTATATTTTTAAAGGGATGTAAATAAACCACAGAATTTTAAAGGGATGTTAAAAAAAAAGAGAAGAAAGAAAGAAGGATATACAACAGAGACCCATATGTTGTCAGTAAAGCCTGATCCTTTACAGAAAAAGTTTGCCAATCCCTGGTCTAGATAATGTTTTTTAGTGTAGATATTTTATTTTGTCATGTGATTTTTCTTTTGTCTATAAAATGAAAGGTTTGATCAAATGATCTCTTTTTTCCCCCCATCTTATTACATTTGTTTTCTATGAATATGTGAATTAAGTGTTGATATGGAATTGGGCTTTATAATTGAATGTATATACAGTTAATCCATATCTGAACATTCACAGCAATTTTACAAACTAGATTATGCTGCTACCTTTGTATCAAGTATGGTCATTTTATCATCTAGAGTCTGACCTTAGAATTAGGTAGGAATTCAAGGATATTTTGTTTTGTTCTTCAGTTACAATGGTAACAACAATGACAAAAACCATATCAGTAGCCATTCTATGTTGAACACTTATACTAGGCTGGGAACTGTGAAAGGTATTTTTTATATATTTTCCACTTGTCATAACAAGACTCTAAAATGTTGTTATCTTATCCCCATTTTACAGTGAAGAAACAGAAAGGGAGAGAAGTTTGATTTTTTTGTGCCAGCCCTCATAGCTGATCAATGGTAGAGCCAGGATTTCATCCAGGTGTTTCTGGTTTTATCCAGTTCTGCCTCCTTTCCAACAACATGTTGTTAGGTATTTGTTAGGACAAATGTGAAAAAAAAATTCTACCTTCTGGCATGTTACAAGGGAAGTTTGTCTAGGGGAAAAAAAAAACACAAAACATTTGTTACTCTATCCTGAGATATGTTGAGACTAAAGTTCAATTTAAGCCAAGATTTGGATATCATAAAGTGTCAAGATCAAATTTAAAATACTATTTAGGGAATTCTTCAGCGTTGGAAGAGCTGGACTAGGGAATTTTACTATTAAAGGGTGATTAGAATTCAACTTGAAAACACTAGGTTGGAGCTATTTGCCCATCTAGGTCAGTCTGAATTTTATTACATATGGGTCAAATCTCTACTGGACATACAAATTTTAATGTAATCATCATTGTAACAAAGTATTTGTGGAAAGAAGTGTTTTGAAGTTAGAAGAGAAATGGAGATATTGTGAAATGTTACTGGATTTCAAGCAGTCATAGAATTTAACGCGGAAAGGATTTTAGAGATTATCTAGCCAGGCTCTTTATGTACTGTAACAATTCTTTTCACCATCCCTTACATCCTTTGTCTCTGACCAGATACATCCAGTGCTAGGGGGAGTGCTCTGCCTCCTGAAGCAGCATATTTTTACTGTGGGCAAGTACACATTTAAATTTTTTTTTTTTTTTAAAGATTTATTTATTTATTTATTTTTTCCCCCCAAAGCCACAGAAGATAGTTGTATGTCATAGCTGCACATCCTTCTAGTTGCTGTATATGGGACGCGGCCTCAGCATGGCCGGAGAAGCGGTGCCTTGGTGGGCGCCTGGGATCCGAACCCGGGCCGCCAGCAGCGGAGCACGTGCACTTAACCGCTAAGCCACGGGGCCGGCGCCACATTTAAATTTTGAATTAAAAAAAATCTTAAAAATTACAACTAGCTTTCTGTGACTTCGCCCATCTGGTTATACTTTCCTGTTTTGGATAAGTATTCGTTCAGTCTTTTCTTCATTCCACATGCCAAATATTCATATAGTTGAAGTATAGCTGTCCTATCTCTCCCTAGTCTACTTTTCTTCTGGCTGGGTATTTACCCAGAGATTAAACCAGAAGTTCCTAGACTTTTAGATTATATAGACCAGTAAAATTATTGTTATTAAACAATTTTGGGAAGTCACATACTTTATAGCTTTATATTTAGGCAGGTAGGACCATTTAAAAAAATCCAAAACCATAATTTATTACTAACACTATTTCCTAAATGAATAAATGTTTTACCACCAAAAAAATAGGAATGACAGAATCTCAGAATACAGGATGGTTGGCAACCTACTCCATCATACATTCATTTTTCTCTTTCACCTCTCCTATTTCTAAAAACTTCTCATTTGGCCATTTCACCATCACTGCTGATGACCAACATTGGGAAGTAACATGTGGGAACACCAAAATAAAAATGAGATGAAATGTAACAAGGTATTTATTTTGGTTAAAAAATGATTTTCCAGGGTTGGTAGGGAGAAAGCTAGAGAGCAGTTTCTGTGAAAAACGTGTGAAATTTTAGATGACCACATAGTCAGTTATCAGCCAACAGTAGAACATGGCTTTTAAGAAGCAAGATAAATGTAATCATAGAACTTTTGTGTCTCAGTTTTATGAATAGTCCTAGAGGCCAGATCACAAATGCATTATTTTTAATTTCAAGAATCATAGTTTGTAAAGAATACCAATAAACCTGAGCAGCACTTTTAAGCCTTTTTTTAACCTCAGCCAGCATAAGGTATATGAAATAATTTTATCAATAAAGGGAGGGACACATGTAATTTGAAATAGTCTCCTGTGTGCTGGGGGATGGGAGGAGGGGAGTAAAAGGGGTAGGAGGTGGAGAGTATGTTTTTTTTGGGAATTTTGGAGAATATGTCAGAAGCAAGAGCAGAAATGTGAGAAACAGAAGGACGTAGAGTAAAACTATCAAGAATAAGTATTTCCTCACCTATGTAGTCATTATCTGAATAACCGCAGTTGTCATAATATAGACATAGTCACTAATGAACTGTGTCCCTCCCTGCTACATAGAAGTATCTGTCCCCATCCAGTGTCCTCGTTGGATAGTCTCTCATCTATACCTGTTTGTAAGCATTGAGCAATATAATGCAAATTGATTGGCCAGGAAAATTGTAAGTCTTATAAAAGATGCAATATTTTGTGAAGTATTTGAAAGTAAGGTTGAAAAACTGATTGAAATACCGGAAAAACCAGTTGAGTTCTGACCAAGTCAGTCAGTTTATGTGGAGAAGATGAACAAGGTTGACCATGACACACCAGTAGTTCTTTAGAAGATATGAATTTAATTATCAAGGGATTAAGATAGGCTTTTGGAGGGGCCACCCGGTGGTGCAGCGGCTGGGTGCTCGTGTTCCGCTTCGGCGGCCCAGGGTTTGCTGGTTCGGATCTCAGGCGCGCACCGACGCACTGCTTGTCAAGCCATACCCTGGTAGTGTCCCATATAAAGTAGAGGAAGATGGGCATGGATGTTAGCCCAAGGCCAATCTTCCTCAGCAAAAAGAGGAGGATTGGCATCAGATGTTAGCTCAGGGCTGGTCTTCCTCACACACACACAAAAAAAGATAGGCTTTTGGAGAAAATTTTGGAGCCCTTGGTACTTATGATTCCATTATATAAAAATATATCCATTGTTGTCTTGATTGCATCTCTCATCACTGATGAGGAATCTCTTTTCACTTATTTACAAAACATTTGTATTTCTGTTGTGTTTTTTGTCTATTTTTTAATTGGGTTGTGTTTTTCTTACTGATTTTTAGAAGTTCTTGATGTTTTGGGGGTAGTGATCCTTTGTCATTAATATGTGCTGCGAATGTATGCTCCCAATATATAGCTTATCTTTTCATTCTGTGTTTTGTTTGCTTTTTATCCTCATTCTAGTCAGTGTTAAGATTTCCTGAGTTGTCATATATCATATATGTGTATGCATATATACATACACACAAAGCATATCAAGTTCAACATTGCTGTTGCATGGAATAATGCTGATTTATGTATTTCTTTTTTTGTG